TTTATATAAAAATTTATTTAAATTGTAATTTTTGAAAAAATTTACAGTGATGCTAACTGTATATGTGTTGATGAATTGGTCAAAACAGTGAACTGAAAGTGTATTGAAATTAATAAACATTCGAATATTTATTGGTAATTCTAATTTAAAATATAATTATTAAATCTTTATTTTAAGATGCAATTTTGTCTATATAGGACCGTATTGTATTATGGGATAAATTGAAAAAGGAATACGAGGAGACAATCGCAGCAAAGACTCCGGTGGATATAACTGTAACTCTTCCGAATGGGAAGAATATATCCGCGCAATCCTGGCGTACAACTCCTTATGACGTTGCGAAAAGTATTAGCCAAGGATTGGCAGATAATACTGTAATCGCAAAAGTTAACAATGAATTATGGGATCTTGACAGACCTCTAGAATTTGATTGCAAACTGCAGCTGCTAAAGTTTGATGATGCAGAAGGTCAGCAAGTGTTTTGGCATTCCAGCGCTCATATTCTTGGGGAAGCTATGGAAAGAGTTTATGGAGGCTGTCTCTGTTATGGTCCTCCTATTGAGAATGGCTTCTATTATGATATGTATTTGGGCGATAAGGGAATTTCCAACACTGATTTTCCATATTTAGAGGGTCTATACAAGAATATAATTAAAGAGAAACAACCATTTGAACGATTAGAAATGACCAAGGAAGATCTCTTGGAAATGTTCAAGTACAATGAGTTCAAAGTACGGATTATAAATGAGAGGATACAAACGCCTACCACTACGGCTTATAGATGCGGTCCGCTGATCGATTTATGTAGGGGACCGCACGTTAGACATACGGGAAAGATTAAGGCCATGAAAATCACGAAGAACTCTTCCACGTATTGGGAGGGAAATGTTAACGCTGAGTCACTGCAGAGATTATATGGAATAAGTTTTCCAGATACTAAACAATTGAAGGAATGGGAAAAATTTCAGGAGGAAGCGGCAAAACGAGATCATAGGAAAATTGGAAAGGAGCAGGAGCTATATTTTTTCCATGAACTTTCGCCTGGATCTTGTTTCTTCCAACCACGTGGCGCGTACATATATAACACCCTAGTCGACTTTATTCGCTCCGAGTATAGAAAGAGAGGATTTCAGGAAGTGGTCACCCCGAACATTTTCAATAGCAAATTATGGCAGACTTCGGGACATTGGCAGCATTACGCGGAAAATATGTTTTCTTTTGATGTGGAGAAGGAAACTTTTGCACTCAAGCCCATGAATTGTCCAGGTCATTGCATGATTTTCGACGTTCGATGCAGATCCTGGCGCGAACTACCGATCAGATTTGCAGATTTCGGCGTGTTGCATCGCAACGAATTGTCGGGTGCATTAACGGGTCTTACCAGAGTGAGACGGTTCCAACAGGATGACGCGCATATATTCTGTTCTATAGAACAAATTAAAGATGAGATAAGTGGCGCTCTCGACTTTCTGTGGCATGTCTATTCCATTCTTGGTTTTACCTTCAATTTATGTCTATCTACGCGACCTGAGAAGTTCTTGGGCGATATAAAAGTCTGGAATGAGGCCGAAAAAGCATTGGAGGAGAGTTTGAACGCATTTGGTCAACCGTGGAGCCTTAATCCTGAGGATGGCGCATTCTATGGACCTAAAATCGACATTACCATCCTGGATGCACTTAAAAGGCCTCATCAGACTGCCACGATACAATTAGATTTCCAGTTGCCAATTAGATTCAATTTATCTTACGTTAAGTAAGTATTCATTATAAACTTAAATTTTGATTTAAAAAATTTGAATATGAATTATTCATTTTCTTGTTGTACATTTATAGCGAAGCTGGAGAAAAAACTAGACCGGTCATCATTCACAGAGCTATTTTGGGCTCTGTAGAGCGCATGATTGCGATCCTAACCGAATCATATGGCGGTAAATGGCCGTATTGGATCTCTCCGCGACAGGCGATGATTGTGCCGGTAGCATCTCAATTCGATGATTATGCCTTTGAAGTGAAACAGAAACTCTGGGATGCTGGCGTTATGGTTGAAATCGACATCGATCCAAGTGATACTCTAAACAAAAAGATTCGTAATGCTCAGCTTGCACAATTTAACTTCATACTCGGTACATATTAAGCTCTTGATAAAATTATAAAAGAACTTGTATAGAATTGTAGATATATATATATATTATAGTAGATATATATATATTTGATGTTCTCGTTATCTTAGCATAATAACTAATAATGTTTTATTACAGTTGTGGGAGAGAAAGAACGTAATGCTGGCACAGTGAATATAAGAACGAGAGACAACGTAGTACACGGTGAAATGGCAGTGGATGAATTAATTACAAAGTTGAAAATTCTGAAAGTAACGAGAGATTCTAGCGGCGAATTAAAATAAAATCTTGATTCAGCAATTTTTTAAAGCAAATTTATTTATTTTTTGCACAATATTTTGCTAAAGCTATAACAAATTTAATAACGATATAAATCCATTTTTTTTTACAGAATGAATTCTTTTATATTTAAGAAAATGTACATTTTTAATTTTATATGTACAGATTATTCTCTTTCCATAAATATGAAAATTAAACTAGGGATTATTATTTATGTGCATTTTACGCATCATGCAGCATTTATTATCAATGTAATTAAATATTTGGTCATTCTTCGTATACATTGTGTTTTATAATATAGTGATTATCAATTACTATGTTTCTACATATTATGTATATATTTATAGGCAAGTGTTTTAATTTAATTGATCGCATTATATTGCGCACATGTATTGCTCCACAGAAGCTGCATTTGCGCATGAATTTGCATTAAATTAAAACAAACTTGATTTATTTTATTGTTACGCAATGATAATCATGATTTAACAACATTTCTAAAAATAGTCTATTTCGTGTCTCTCTGATCAATATTATTTATATGTCACAGTTAAAGTATTAATTCACTGAATGTATATATATAT